GGGAAGCTGTGGGAGCTCGGGAGCCCTTCTAGCTGGATGGGGATTCTTAAGGTGCCTTAGGGGGTGATCCACAAACAGCAGCAAATGGCTCTGGTAGCACATGCTGACTGGTGCTGAGACAAGCCAGCTGTTCAGTCTTCTTGGCAGCCAGGCTTCTGAAGCAGAGCAGGAGGGGTGGAGCATGCCAGGCCGGAGGAAAGTTTTCTCCGCTCTGCTGGAGAACGGCAGTTTGTCATGTTGCATGGTAAATTTATTGGATCTTTCACCTTTTTAGCTGGTGAGAATTTGGTAAAAAAAACTGGTCTTTGTTTCTCATCCCTTGATTTGTGAGGTGTTCATTTATCCAGTGCACTTTTTCACCCTTTGAAGATTTAGCAACACACCAATTACATCAGCTAATCCGTTCCTCCACATGTCCGCTTTCTTTTTATTCCCACTCTCCTCCTCTCATTCGGGTGGTTCTCTGGAGCCTCCATTCTCTGGAGGTAATTCCTCCAATCTCCTCCTCGCTGGAAATGTTGGGAAAAGTTGCAGCTCAGCTCATTATCACCCAGAAAGGGCATGGGACTGAGAAGCACAGCTCGACCTTCACAGCCAGCTGTCTTGGCTTCCCTTTCGAAGGAACAAGGGAGGATGGGGTTCCTTTTCTCGATGGGGATGATTTTCACAGCAAAAGCCAAAAAGTGGGCTCACAAGAGCTGAGAACACTTGGACTCCCATTTCAGAATGGCCTTACTATTAATGCAAGTGCTTTTTGTGTTTGTGGTGCAGAAAAGAGAAAATACATAGACAGAAATGACGAAGCTAACCTGTGATAAGTGCTAACATGCATCAGTAAGCATGCAGTAGCCCAAGCAGTTGAATTTAAACACTTTCTCAGGCCAAAACTCACCAAAGTCAGGTGTCTATAGCTCTGTATGGCTAAGGTTTACAACCAAACGGTGTAGTTGGGAGTCACAGCTTTCATGAAATGTTCAATCCAACGAGTCGACTTGAATTGCATCAGAGCCCTAGAGGATGGTCACTTTATACTAGTTCATTCTGAACAAAGTCAAACAGCCACTCTTTATTCTGGTATATATAGGTATGTGTCTCTGTTAACTAATGTACAGTATATGTTGTTGTTTTGTCATTACTTGTTGTTACTTGTTTATGTAACTTTGTTTACCTGTTTACCACAAACCTGCCAAGGGACTACAGATGGAAATTAGCCTATGGCTATAATCTGGCATATTTACGTATTGATGTTCATTAATGTGCACTGTCCCTATTTAAATAAATAACTACACAACACGTCATGTTCACTCACCTTTTCCTGGTACTGCCGTCGAGAAGAGTCCAGGGATTGGATTAGCGCGGTGGCATGGCCCACGAACATGGCGTAGCAGGTAGCGCCCACGATCATGCTGAGGATGGTCAGCCACACGTCTGTCATTCCAACAGGGGGGTACATGCCATATCCAATACACAGCATGTGGCTCATAGCTTTGAAAAGTGCGTAGGAGTACTGCTGTCCCCACGTGTCGTTCTGGATGAAGAGACAGGGTGGGTTAGGGTTAATACACTGAAACACTTTATATAGTTCTGTTTTGCTCAGTCACTCTCCTTCTCTCTCTCATAAGAGTGTTGATGGCACATTAAAGGTCAATGAGCAGCCTGACAGCTCACACACAGGCACGCACACATCCAATTATGAAAGACAAAACTAATGGCAGATGTCCACTTCAAACTGTCTTGGGTAAATACAGAGCAGTTGGCAGGGTAAATATACTTTTAGATATGCAAACATTTGGAACAAGCAGATTTTTGGGCAGGAGCCTAAAACAGAGCCCTGAGAAGTGAGCGAGCGAGACACAAGAGGCTTGCATGACAGTAAGTAGGTCAGCTATTTAGAAAAATGTGATTTCTCTGAGAGTTTTCTCATTTGTAGATAAATTGCCCTTTTTTCCGTTGGATCCCAGTGGTAGTTTCATGGCAAATCAATATCAACCCTCTCCTGGGGGTGACAATGTCCAAATGGCTTTCAAACTCATTTCCACAGCAGAGAAGAGGAGAGAGATAGTGATTTTATTAGTGCCCTCCTGTAAAGGTAAGGAGTGATGACCACTGCAAGGCAATAGGACAGCTATGGTAAAAGAAGACAAAATATATGTCTCCTGATGATTCTAATCAGAATCAAACCAGCCGTGACTGAGTCAATACTAACAAACTCTGTGTCTGCCAGGTAATCTGAGCCAACCATGAAAAGCTTTTCCAATAGAGAGGTGCCTGCCCCCGAGGCTTGAATTAATTCAGGAAGATATAGTTGTTATTCTGTCACAGTGAGAACCATTATTCTTCGTAATGCAATTAATTAGCCAGTGTTTACTGTGTGAACAAAACAAAGTCCATTTTGATCTTAATGAGAGGCTGCATCTCTCACATGGGATTTTAAACTTAGTCCATTGTGAGGGCTCTTCCTCAGATCTTGCACTTCCAGATTCAAGGGGCTGTCTGTGTGTGCAGAAGACTAAGGAGGCAGATAGTAAAAAATCTCTGTGGAAGTTTTGAAAACAAACTCCAGAAGTAGAAAAATATAATCTAATGAGAACTGCATGAAATAATATTGTGATAAAGCATTTCAAACATGAATTTATATTCCAGAGATGCTCACATGGAGGTTGTTAAAACAGTCAAGAAATGGGAGAGTACATTTTTAGGTTTTAATGGGAGCTATTGAAGGTAAAAGTAGAGTTTGTTATTAAAAATATTTGAAAATGTAAACATACAAATGGAAAATTAGAGATTAAAGTCTAAAAACGAGGGATGGCAAGTGTCCCTTGTTGGTCTGCAGTAGGATTTTTAAGCCTGCCTTTTCTGCAGTTTACATGAGGTTTCACTGTTTATGCAGGATACAACAAAGAGATTAGTAAAGCAATCATATCTTTGCTTTCACTGCTGCAGAGTAAGACTTCAAATTGGATCTTAATCCATGCATATTCTACTGTACCTTAATGATGAGCCACAGTTTATATATTGTGTTGCCTGACAGCTCTGGTTTATGTAATTTAAAATAATCCCCTTGCAACTTGGCTCTGCATATGGAGCTAGTTGTAAAATGCATCTTTCATGGCGCGGAAGGGAATGAAAAATATAAAAATAGAACGGGGAAATGTTTGGATGTAACCTTGACATCCAAGCTTGACATCTTTATCTGATGTCTTGATCCATTCATTCAGATCAATAACTGACAAAGAGGTTTTTGTTTTAAAATGACTTGTGGATTTGATCTCCAGTACTGAGAATGTCCCTGAGCAGCCTCACCTGAGTGTGATTATCTAGGAACAGACAGGTAAAGAAAATGAGCTAAAATTAGCTTCAAGTGTGATCATCTAAAGGGACAGTGGTTTGCAGCATCTGTTGTTTCTTATGATTAAATGTAACAAGTGAGCACGTCAGGGAGGCAGCGAGGCATGATGAACCAAATACATCATACCATGAGCGATGTAAGGACTCATGTGGCATCTGCTCTGGCACGCAGGGCTGATCATACAGTTGACTAAAGGCTTGTTCATGTTAAACCTAAAGTTGTTTTATCGACATTTTTTTAAAGACATGTTTATTCTGGGCTTTAATCGGTCATCACTCTTTTAATTAATTCAGTCTGTGACTTGAATTATTAAATTACTTCAAAAGATTCAATTAGCCCGTATTGTAAATACAAATTGTGATGGCAACTGTAGCACTAAATGGCAATAATCCTGACATGGATAATAAAAAAACGAATTCCTGCTGGTTGAAAAGGGTTCACAGGCGTGGTCAAAATGTTGCCATGAACACTTTTCAATCCGGGAATCTGTTTTGCATCATGTGGACAGTTTTTCACCAAACTAGTTGTTAACTACACAAAGCCCAAATGTCACCCTATTGACAATTCCATCACTATACTCAGTAGTTAGGACACCACTCTCCTCAGCTGCTTCCCTTTAAGGGTTAAATACATGTTGATTTATTGATTTGTTACACTAGAGAGAGAAGCATGCGCTGGCATTGAATCAATCCTACCGAAGGCCAAACCACAAAACCTGACAATAACTCAGGTGCATTTCGAGCCACATCCTTTACACCACGCTGGGTTAACATGAGGTCATCAGCTGCAATGAGTCAGAGTCGCACATCAGGTGTTACACAGTCCGCTTCGTGAGCAAATGACGGAGAACAGAAATGTGAGTCAAGCTATAACAGAGACTTCACTCTAGCAGCTGTTTTAACAGTGCAGCAAATTAAAGCACAGCATGACTGGTCACCGGAAACTGTCAATATTGCGACAATATTGAATAAGGGGGTTAAAGTCGACCTCAGAAAATCAATATTCCCTCCACAGCCTTAGTGTCTCTCTCTTTTCACAACAAGGGCAGATGTCGAGAGAGCTCCTAATAAATACAAATAATCCGCAAATTGAATAAATGTGGGCAAATGTACAAGATAAATATGTTTGATTTGGGTCTTAAAAATGACCGATATGCAGGGCAGGCTTTCCCAGGATGCTGAAGGGTTTTAGTTCAGTAATTACTGAGGCTGATGGATGCGATAAGATGGTGCATAATCTGATTGGTACAGGGAGGAGGGCTCTGTGCAGGAGGAACACTTACCACCATCTTATTTTTGGACACCCAGCAGTCGGCAGGAAAGTCCTGCAACATGGGTACCAGGAACTGCAGGCAGCCATCCCAGTGGCAGAGAAGCAGCATCATGCCGATCAGGTTGACAATCCTCACCATGGCGCTGGCAAGGTCATAAGTCATGTGGAAAATCTGAAGGGTGAGAGAGATGATAAAGACAAAAAAACAAATAGGTTAGGGAACACACTGGTGGTCAAATCCCTGAAATCTCTCTAGATTGCAAAGCACATACTTGCCGCCAAGAGACATTTGAATGACTTCTGGGTCTGTTCTTTGATCAAATCATGCACAGGGTTTGTGGTTTAGGAGTTAGACAACAATACAAACCTCAGCTTTTTACAGTACACACAGATGAGCTTGTATGCAGATGTTGCTGTTTTGTGAACAGTCCACGGGGGACGGAGTGCAGACTGGGACCGAAGCTTTACCTGCTGATTTGCTCTTATCGCCAGCCACTCAGACAAACACAATAATTGTACACAGGTAGAGGTGCCTGAGCTCACAGGGTTAGAGCGTTCACAGGCTGGGTTCGTTAATCCTAATGATAAATACACTCATAAGGCGCTCCAGGACTTGTGGGCTGGTGTAGATTTTAATGGCACCAACCATTCAAAGCCTCTTAATCCCATTGAAGACCAGGGTGTGCATCACTAACCACTTCACTCCTTATTAAAATCCACTGAGTGCCTTTTAAGAGCTTGCGACTGAGAGGGGATATTCCATCTTTGCTTTGTTGTTCATTAGCAGGTGATTATGAGGCGGAAGATGAAGGCATAAACATATTTGCCATCCAGATTTGAATCTTGGTGTTTGCTGTTTAAGCACTGGGTTTGTTTATTTTTCTGAATGCCAGTGTTTATACATGTATTTTTCCTTGCGTGTGTTAAAAACGAGGCTGGCAAGGACCAGGGTAGCGTCTGTGCAGGACAGTGTGGGTGCACCATCAAATCACATCAATTTAGCTCCATCAGCAGGCTACCATGAAGCCAGAGGTAAGTCCATAAAAATGTGCCCGAGCGAGGAGCGCAGCCAGGCTCTCTGAGAGTAGATGGAGGCATCCCCACTCACGCAACCATTCACTCTGAAACCCAATGTGCCTCTCTCCCACTCTGTCTCTTTCCTTCTTTCTGTGGGCTCTTGTTCAAAAATGTTTAGCCTCAGGCACTTTCACATCACCTAAGTTAAATCATTCGCCCAACTGCATCTTTTTTTCTCCGTCAGCCCGCAAGATCCTTTAATTTTCTACACTTCTGTTCACAGCAGCACGCCAGATATGAGTTACGGTGTGCTTTCTAAGGAGTCAGTATTTTCCTTAAACACAGTGATAATAAATAAGTCATTTTATCTAATATGCAATGTTGAGTGATGTCAAATTTCCTGCTGGAGCAGTAATGGCATTCCATAACATTAGAGTGTTAAATTCACTCTGTGGTCAATGAATAAGTCATGAGGTTCCCCTTTCCATCTCCCACACTGAGCCTGATATATTTTTCATTCGTGAAATCTTTTTTTCAAGACAGGAAAGGGGGGCTTCATGAAACAGATGCTGCTTAAGAGCTATAAAAAAAACTTGCTTAATCCAAATGACGCAATGGAGTTTACAACAAAGACATCAAGCTTAGCAGTCTAATTTTTAAACATTAGAAAATGTTTGTTTTTTAAAGTAAAGTGTCAATATAAAATGTACCCTCATTCATCAGCCAGTTGATGCTGTGTATTTAAAGAAAGAGGATAAAAGTGTGTTGCTTTCTCCTAATGCATAATGCTGGGTGTACAATTTAAATGTTGTTACAGTTAGCTCACTTTGTGACTTAAATACATTTTAAACGAAAGCCTGTTAATAAATAGGGAATTTACTGAGCCTGTGTGTTGACATAGAAAATAAAAAATAACTGGAGGCCCGAGGGAAGTAAGTCGTGACCATGAGATAAAAATTGCATGGACATGAGTCTTTAGTATCTGTGTAGCATGTGTGTGTTTCAGTTTCTATGTAGAGACAGTGGCAAATATGTTTATACTGTATGCGCGCATATTATGGGAGATGTAGTATTTTTATTTATGGGGTAAAATGTCATGGTATCTCCGCAATCAATTTAAATCAATCTTTTTATATATTTTTCATCACATTTTTCATCACTTTGTTCATCAGTATCACTTTGCGAGGGGTGCTGGTGGCGCAGTGGTTAGAGCGCGCGCCCCATGTATAGAGGCTGTAGACTTCCAAGCGGGTGACCCGAGTTTGAATCCGTGTATTTGTAAAAACATATTTTTCAACTCTTTGTGAGATTGTGCACGTGTAAACCCTGAACATTTTGAGACATAACACACGATCTGCAAGTTTTGCTGTTTTATGCACTGTCAATGTTCTGTGGGTTGTCCTTGAACATGTAAATACTCTGAATACTATCAACCTCTACAATGTAAGTACATTTCTGAAGCAGGATAAATTCCTTTCAATATCTCTTGCTGCAGCCTGAATGTGTCATTACTGTTCAACAATAACTCCTGCTACATCCCTACTGTAGACGTGCCCTCAAAAGACCTCTGGCTCTTAAACACTGTGTGAAGAATAAAGCCTACGAGTACTGCCATGGGTAATTTCATGCAAATCTGCCGTTTGTAACCCAAACTGTACTGTCACTGGAGGAAGGTGATTCCTCTATCTCTATTTTCCAGCAGTAATCAATTCAAATACTCCCATCATGCCGGTCTTTCCATAAGGTAGGACAAGCTGAAACCGGCTTCCTTTTTTAAAATCAAAAACATAGCCTAGATACTTCAAGCTAAGCTAAGTTGTGGTTTCATGAACACCACTAATGAAATTGCAGTGACATGGTTTTAGGCACCAAGAGACAGAAGACTTGTAAAGCCACTTTACAAGACAACTAAATACATAATAAATGTAGGGGTAATATACCTGCCACCAAAACACAGTTCCTTAATTAATACACCATTACTACAATCTTTTTTCCCCTGCTGAGTAGCACTGCTGTCAACTAAAGCAGTGTTTTTCACTGAAGGATCTTCCCCCAGGGACTAAGGGGTACCATGGCTATTCCAACACCCAGAGACAAGGGTCCAAGTGAAGTCCTGGAGCCTTTATTTCTACACTTTGGAAAAATTACATATTTTTAAAACTTAGCCCAGGTTTAGTTAAGACATCCAACAGTGTAACATTATATGTATTACAAATACAGATCAGAATGATATGTCTCCTTTATAGAAGTTCCTGCTACTTTTGGTAGAAACATGGCTTGTAAGCTACACTACAATCAGTTATTTTAAAGAGATAAAATCCTAGAATATAATTGTAACACACACTGACTCCTTTCTTTACTACTACATCGCATTGAGGAATAGGCTCAAAAATACTTAAGGACATAATAAACTTATAAACAAGGACTGGTAAAGATGACAGGGGTCAAATACAGGGTTACATGCTAAAGTTATTAATTTGCATCCTTGTGTGCCAGCCATCAGGTCCAGAAAAAAGACTGGGTGGAGGCAGCTGCCTTGCCATCTCAAACAGATGGAGTAAGAAGAGTGTGATCCAGGTGAGAGAATAGATGCATGTGTGCCACAGTGCTGACGGTAGCTACCCAGACACACTCGATGTAGCAATATACAGAGGCATCTGTTGTTTCTTCCTAGCGTTGCTGATGATGATGAATGTTTGGCGTGATGGTGTCTCAACACATAAGAGAAAACAAAACAAAAAAGTCCTCACTTACATTTTTTTTTTTAAATCCGCCACTTTGCTGACGAAACTTTAAACACATGGTTTCCCTACCTCAAATATTTTTCTCTTTGATTATAGTTTCCCTGCTTTGCACCAATATCCTTTATATAAAAAATGAGTTTGATGTGCTTTAATTGCTTTTGAATAATGAATGTTATGATGAGCGGTAATTGTACAAGTTACATTTTGGCAGAAGTGTTTAAATAATCATGAACAGAGTGGACATGTCATTTTATCACACAGTTGTGATTGCAGAGCAATCCAGGCTTCATGAGAAGGGCAGCTCTCAAATTAAATACTTTATAACTGTGTTCAATGAGTCATTTAGCTATAATCATTTGAGTGGATTTCAATTAGAGGGAGTTCAGAACAAATGCACACTGAAGCTCAAGATTTAGGATGAAAATAATAGTCATTTTAAAACCATCAGTCTTTTCTCTCCATGTTGTCCTGTATGTATTTATTTTTTTTTCATTATAAAGCATGACAATGGCCATATGCTTGCTTCTCCTGTGTCTGCGTGAGACATGATTACCGCATGATGATGAGTAATGAAGTTTATCAGCTAAATCAATCCATGCATGTCTCAGTGTTATTTTTAATCATCCAGGATGATGGCAGACTCTGGGAGCAGGCTGTGGGCAGGGGTTAGATTTCTCACTCTAAATGCCTCGACCAAAATGTCATGCTCATGCATGCTGTCATGGCGGACGAAGCACACATAAAGAATGAGAAGTAGGCCTGGGAGTGGACCACTGGGAAAACCCTTCCATCATCCGTCTGAACAGGCCTGGAGGGCTCGGATCACAAAAACCACTTTCGCTCTGCTCCCTACCAAGATGCGCCATTGGGTTTCTGCAGGATTACACACTTTTATGTAATACTTTTTTAGGCAAGTGCACTGTGGGTATTGATATCACACAAAGCTTATTCAGAGTGTTGAGGAGCTGTCACTTTGGCTGGCAAGCTTCATTGTGCACTAAATAATAGCCCATTAAATCTATTCTTCCTGCTTTGCTTATCTCTCAAAGACCAGTCCTTGACCAAGGTAATGGGTCAGTGAGTGCGGAGCTGATTAGCTGATTTATCTTATTTAAATATTTCTGTAAAGATTTACTGGGTGGAAATGAAAGGCGTCTTAGTTCGTCTCTGGACCCAAGAGGCAGCCACATGGCTAACTTCTGTTACAGCGCCTGAGGATTTTTACTGACGGAACATTTCATTTCTCTCAAACTAAAGCACAAAGCCCCACTTGTGCAGACTGAGCCGTAAAACAAACCATGGTGCCAATATAAATAGAGACGTTCTGTAACAAATAGACAAATGCAGAGCTCATTACACCTTAAGCAATTGGCTATATTCCTCACAATAAAATGTATTTGCTCCTCTTTGT